ATATATATAGTTTAAAATTTCAGAGACAATTGAATATTGCATGTATCACAGTGAATGGCTTCATAAATTGAATGAAGGTGAATTTCTCATAATAGATGAGAATTTATAAAAGATAATTCAATAGGATTTTGGGTTAAGGATTTTTTTTTTCTTAAGAGAAGATGAAATTTCCTGATAGCAGCAGATGGACCTATTAGGAGTTCCAGAGGAAAGTATTTTTAAGGGGGAGCATATGTCAGGAAAGGGAGTCTGAATTGGAAGAAGATGAGAATGCAGATTAGAGTGGTTTATACTGTGAGTTATGGCTACAGATTGTAGGAATGATGTTATCAGAAGTGTCTGAGTACAGCAGGTCTGTTTTAAGACTATTTAGACCTTGGTGTCAAGTTGCAGTCCTCCTTCAAACTTCTGCCTAGAATATTACATGAACTTTTAAAATGATCTCAAATTATATAAAAATAAAATGGCCGTGTATATTATTCTTTCTTTTCTTTTCTATTTATTTGTTTATTTGTTTGTTTGCTTATTTTTTGTACTGGGGATTGAACTTGGGAACTTGCATTTTCAAGACAGTTGGTGGACCCACTGAGCTAAATACCTGGCCCTTCTTTTTAATTCTTTTGAGAGATCTTTTTATATAACCCAGGCTAGCATCAAACTTGGTATCTTCCTGTCTCAGACTCCCAAGTGCTGGGATTATGGGTGTGTACTGCCACACTTGGCTATGTAAATTATTTCTTTTTGTTTTGATTTTGATACTAGGGATTAAACTCAGATACCTTATTTCTTTAAAAAAGTCTCCTGTTTTAGGGTCTGGTGACATGTTATCTAGAAGGTATACAGTATTTGTGAATTGAATGAATTACTTTTCTCCAAGTATAGATTTCTAATAGATAAGAGCAGAGTAGTTTAAGTTTATTATCTTTGAAAATAAATGTTTTATCAATTCTGATGCCATATAATATTTTAACCATTATTCAAGAGAAGATCTTTTAGGTTATAGGAATAATACAATATAGTAAATGTCTACATTTTCTTTTATACCATCTAAGGCATGATAGTCAAATAGGTATTGAAAATTACCAACACAATTCTACTTTGTCAATTACCAGTTTTGTTTATTTTTCTCTCTCCTTTTTCTTCTACTTCTCCTTCTGCTCTCTTTTCCATACATTTTCCCTTCTCATTACTTGTGTTTACTCAGGATAACTACTAAAATTCACATCCATTGCTTATCTCCACCAGTAACATTCATAGCTAGGAAGTTTTGCTGTCCCATCTGTTAAAACATTGTGCACTGTTTCCACTTTATTCTTACTGCTTCTTCTTTAAAGGGTGCTAAACTGTAGACCCAAACTCAGGGAAAAGAAATTAAAGAGTTATAGAAATTGAAAAAATATATTACTTGAAATTATAGACGATAGCTCCAATTAAAGGAATTATCTGGTCTTTTATTTATGTATTGGTGATTAGTTAATATTGTTTCCTCATCCAAAAAAAATGAAATATTTAAGAATCAGTCTAACAAAGGAGGCAAAAGTCCTCTACATTGAGAACTACAGGACTCTGAAAAAAGATTGAAGAGGAGTTTATAAGAAAAATGGAAAGTCATCCCTGTTCAGTGTAGGAAGAACCAATATAGTGAAAATGGCCATACTTCTAAAAGTGCTATACAGATTCAGTACAGTCCCAACTGAAACCCCAACAGTGTATTTCACAGAATTAGAGAAAAAAAAAATTCAAAAATTCATTTGAGCCGGGCGTGGTGATGCACACCTGTAATCTCAGCACTCGGGAGGCTGAAGTAGGAGGATTGTTGTGAGTTCAAGACCAGCCTGGGTTACATAGTTCAAGGTCAGTCTCAACTACGCAGTGAGACCCTGTCTCAAAAAAAAAAAAAAACGAAAATTCATTTGGCACCAGAAGAGACCTAGAATAGCAAAAGCAATGATAGGCAACAGAGACATAGCAGTGGGTATCACAATCCCCAACTTGAAACTATACTGCAAAGCCATTGTGATAAAAACAGCATAGAACCGGCAAAGAAACAGACCCAAGGATCAGTGGAATACATTAGAAGATGCAGAAACAACTCCAGACATACTCAGCTACCTCATCTTGGACATAGCCAACCATCCTCACTAGAGGAAAGATAGCCTCTTTAATAAATGGTATTCGAAAAACTGGATTTCAGTTTGTCACAGATTAAAACTAAACCCGAATCTTTCACCATGCACTAAACTAAAATCCAAGTGGATTAAAGGTCTAAATTTTAAAAAAGAAACACGAAACTTGCTAGAAGATAGGTAGAACTCTTGAAGATATTTGCATAGGAAAAGACTTTATGAACAAATCCTAAGTAGCATGATAAATAGCACAAAGAATCAACAGCTGGATTCTCATCTTAAAAAGCTTCTGCACAGCAAGAGAAACCACTAGCAGAGCTAGGAGACAACCCACAATGTGGGAAAAAATTTTTACCAGCTGATCCTTAGACAAAGGTCTACCATCTAGAATATATAAAGAAGTCAAACAAATCATACCCCCAAATGTAAAGACCCAATTAAAAGGAGCATCTGAAATAAACAGTCATTTCTCAGACAGAGAAGTAAAAGCAAATAAACATGAAAAATGTTCAACATCACTGTCATTCAAGAGATACAGGCCAAAACCATGCTTGAGATTCTACCTCACCCCAGGAAGAATGGCTGCTATCGTGAATCAACCAATAACAAAGCTGGCTGGGTTGTGGGGAGAAAGGAAGCTTTCTTCATTGTTGGTGGGAATGCAGTCAATATGGTCCAACTATATTGATTGTGGAAATCAATATGGAGATACCTCAAAAAACTATGATTAGAGGTCCCATTTGACCCAGCTATTCCTCTGCTGGGTATCTTCCCAAAAGAATTAAAAGAATCATACCACAGTGATACATGCTCACCCATATTTATAGCAGCACAGTTTTTAGTAGCTAAAACTTGGAAACAGCCCTGTTGCCTCTCAGCTGGAGATGGGATAAAGAAGATGTGTTTTTTGTTGTTGTTATTGTTGGTTTTTAATAAAATGGAGTTCTACTCAGTCATAAAGAACTTGAGACATTTATAGCTAATTAGGTGCACATTGAGGCTATACTCTTAAGTGAAATAAATTGGACACACTTGTAAATACCAAATAGTTTCTCTGCTGTGAATAACTAAAAGTGTAAATACAGATCAAAATGTATAATTGATAATGTGAAATAGGAAGAAAGGGTCTAAAGGGGAAGTAAGGTTTGGGGAAAGGGAATGGAATTAATACGAGAAAATGAAAAAATGAAACAAAAGTTTTTGTAAATAAGGAGGGAGGGGGTGAAGGGAGGGCAGGGGAATGGGGAAAAAATAAAAACCAAGATTAAGTACAGGTACAAATTTCCAATGATAAATGTAAGTGTCTTGTATAGCTAAAATGTACCAGTAAACTTAATGAAAAAAAAATTCAGCTTCCTAATGTTAAATGAAAGTTTTGACCAACTGTTAATTGCTTGTTGTATTTCATAATTGCTTATTATAATGATTTTTGTGTCATAGACTCATTATCAGCCTTCCTCTTTATGTGAATCTGCATTGTTTACTTGACCTTTATTAAGTTAAATCATGTAATTTTTTAAAGTAACTGTGATAATAACATCATCTTATTTTTTTTTTCAAATAGATTTGGACTGAGCAACAAATTTGAATCAGAATTTCCTTCTTCATTAACTGGAAAAGTGAGTTTCAGTTATTTATTTATTGTTTATGTGTCTCGAAATTCAGACTTTTCCTAGCAATTAAAAAGCATACATGCTAACGTAGCATGTTTATTGACATACTACTATTTTTTAAACTTTTTCTGTAGGTAGCTCCTGAAGAATTTAAAGCCAGCATCAACAGAGTTAATAGTTGTCTTAAGAAGAACCTTCCTGTTAATGTACGTTGGCTACTTTGTGGCTGCCTTTGTTGCTGCTGCACATTAGGTTGCAGTATGTGGCCAGTTATTTGCCTCAGTAAAAGAGTAAGTTGAATTATATATTTTAATTTAAATTTAGAAGTAGTTAAGTTGTGTATTTATGTAGCTTTTAATTTTTTGTTTTGTTGTGTTTTGGGTTTTGTTTTGTTTTTTTGTTTTGTATTTTGGGGGTTTTTTTTTTTTGGTACCAGGGATCAAATTCGGGTCTTTGTGCTTACAAGGCAGGCACCGGAACAATTGAGCTAAATTCCCAGCCCTCCAATTTTTTGTTTTAAATAAACTACACTATTCTGGCTGGACATGGTGGCACATGTTTGTAATCCCAGCACTTGGGAAGCTGAGGCAGAAGGATTGCTGTGAGTTGGAGACAGCCTGGGTTACATAGTGAGTTTAAGGCCAGCAGAACTACATAGCGAGACCCTTTCTCAAAACTAAACAGTTATGACTAGGACTTTCTTGCCAAATGGGGGAAGTATAATTTTTCTAGTCTATGACTTATCTCTCTCTTATCTCTTGCATTCTTTGTTTGTTTGTTTGTTTTGGTACTGGCCATGGAACTCCAGACCTTGCCTTTGCTCCAGACCTTGCCTTGAGGCAGACAGTTGAACTACTAAGCTAAATCCCTGGCCCTTCTTTTGCATTCTCTTAATGTCTTTGGCAGAGCTAAAGTTTTTAAAGTACAGTTTATCCTTTTAAAAATGGGTTTTAGTGTCATATTTAAGATTTTCGTCAGCCAAAGTCATGAAGATTTTTCCCTTTGAGCTCTTCTCCATTTTACATTTAGGTCTGTTATACTATGTTTTGAGTCAATTTTTATATGCGTATGATAGGTCAAAGTTCATTACTTTTGTACATGATTCTTTGGATTTTCCAGCACCAGTTGTTGAAGTCTGTATCCATTTAACTGCCATTATGTATTGTTAAAAATTAAATCATAATATTTGTGTGGGACTGTTTCTGGACTCTTGTCATTTATATTCATCTGTATACCTGTCTTGATCTTAATACCATGCTGTCTTATTTACCATAGCTTAATAATAAGTCTTCAAATCAGATTAGGTGAATCTTAATAATTTCTGTTTTTCAAATTGTTTTAGTTATTCTGATTTCTTTGTTTTTCCATATGAATTTTAAAAATCAGCTTGTTAGTATCCACAAAAGATGGCTGAAATTGTTTTTCTTTTTTTCCTGTGATTCTAGGGCTTGAATTAGGGCCTTCACATTGAGCTTACCCCCCCCACACACACACATACAAACACCCATTCTCCCTTTGGTTTATTTTTATTTTGAGATGGCCTCACTAAGTGGGCAGGTTGGGCTCAAATTTGTGATCCTCCTTACTCATCCTACCAGAATGCTGGGATTATAAGTTACACCACTATACCCAACTAAAACACTGATATTTTAATGGGTGATTGCATTCAATCAGTGTAGGGAGAATTGGAATCTTAATAATACAGGTTTTTGTTTTTTTGTTGTTGTTGTTACTGGGGATTGAACTCAAGTCCTTGTGCTTGCAAGGCAGTTGGCAGAACCACTGAGCTAAATCCTCTCAATTTTTATATATTTATATATCTCCTCAAATTTTATATATTGCGTTTTTGTTGCTCAGTTAAGAATATTCCTGTTTCCCTCTTTTACTTATGCATTAAGAAATATATTAATGTCCACAAACTTTTCAGTTATTGATTTATAGTTTAATTATCTTACTGTCTGAGAACATGGTGTGATTTCACTTGTTTGTTAGGTTTTATGGCTGTAAATTTAATGTATCTTGGTAATAGGTTCTTAAATTTTTATTTCTATTTTGTCAGGTTTATTGAGGTTATAAGTGGCATAGAACAAACTGCATATTTAAAGTTATCATTTCATGAGTTTTGTCACATACGCATGCATGCATACACATGTTTACATCAAGATACTGAACATATTTTCTGTCCCCAGAAGTTTCCTTGTGCCTTTTTGTAATCTCTCCCATCCCTTCTAGGCAACTACTGATGTTCTCCTGTATATCACTGTAGATTACTTTGCACTTTTAATTCATTTATATAGATTAAACCATACAGTATTCATTCTTGTCCTTTATTCATTATTTTGAGATTCTCCCATGTTGTTGGTTCAATAATTTTAGTTCATTGTTAAATAATGTTCTATTACATGGATATACTGCATTTTTTAAATCCATTTATCCATTGCTGGGCATTGTTGTCATTTCCAGTTTTGATCCATGTAAATAAAACTGTAATATTATTGTTTGAGTTTTTTGGGGATATATACTTTCTTTTTTCTTGAGTAGACCATCCTAAGAGTGGAATGGCTTGATCATATAGTATATATTTAACTTTTTAAAGAACGGAGAAACTGCCAAGAAAGAGGTATTATATTTTATATCCTCACAAGCAGTATATGATAGACTTTATTCTGCTACGTACTTGTTAATGTTAATCTTCAATTTCAGCCATTTTCATAGGTGTTTAGTGTTATCATTATGGTTTTAACTTGCATTTTCCTAAAGATTAAATGATTTTAAACATCATTTTATGTTTATTTTCTGTTGTGTATTTATGGTGAAATGTTTGTTCTTTTTGCCCAATATAGTTGAGCAATTTTCTTGTTGTTGAAGTTATGAGAGTTCTTTACATGTTCTGGATACAAATACCTGCTTTGCAAACATTTCTCATAGTGAATGGTTTATCTTCATCCTCCCAAAATTTTTTAGGAAGTGTTTTAATTTTGATGAAATGAAGTTTATCTATTTATTCTTTTATGGATTGCCCTGTGGCTCTTCCCGTGCCATGTCACAAGGATTCTCTCCTATATTCTAGAAGATTTATATTCTTATGTTTTACATTTGGAGTTAAATTTTTATATGGTAACAATGTATGAAGTTTTTTGTTGTTGTTGTTGTTGGTTTTTGTTTTTTTTTGGCACCAGTTACATTTGTTAAGCAAATGATTGCTGAATTGTCTTTGTATGGAAAAAAATCACATATTCATATCTGCAAGGGTCTTTTTTTTTTTTTTTGTGGTACTAAGGATCAAACTCGGGACCTTGAACTTGTGAGGCAGGTGCAGTGCCACTGCACTAAATCCCATGCCCATACAAGGGTCTATTTTTTGCCTTAGTTCTGTTTTATCTGTTTATCTTCATGATAGTACCATCCTGTCTTGAGTATTCTAGCTCTATAATTATATCTTGAAATTGGGTTATGCTAGTTCTTCAATTTGGTGTACTTATTTTTTGAAATTGTTTTGCTATTCTGTGTTGTTAATACTGTATATGAATTTTAGAATCAGCCTGTTGATATTTACTTTTAAAAAACCCTCATTGGATTTTAGTTTGGATTGCTTTGAATTTATGGATCAATTTGAGAAAATTGGCCTCTTAAAAATAATTTTATCTTCTAACACATGTATTAGTACCTCTCTCCATTTCCTTACATCTTTAAAATTTTCTGAGTGGTATTTTATAGTTATTAGTGACCTGTATATCTTTTGTCACATTTATCATAAATATTTATTTTAATGCTACTTTAAATGATATATTTTAAACTTTTCAGTGTTTTATTTTTCCTTGGTAGGGTTTATGCTAAACTTATCTATTTGTTTCAGGAGTTCTTTTTGTAGATCCCATTAAGTTTTTCATATACAGTCATTTATCATGTACATGAAGATAATATTACTTCTTTCTAATCTGGTTGCTTTTTATTTTCTTTCCTTGCCCTATTGCCCTGGTTTAGAATTTCCAGAGAAGCATTTATTGGAAGGAGTGGAACTGTACCCATGGTTTTCTTCTTATTTCAGAGGGATTATATTCAGACTTTCATTATTAAGCAGTGTCATATTAGTTTAAGGGTTTTTGTAGATGTCTTTCATCTGCCTTGAGCAAGTTTCATATTATTATTTACTAAGCGTTTTTTTTAAAGATACAGAATAAATGTTAGATTTTGTTCAGTGCTTTTTCTTTAGTGAAGGTTGTATGGTTTATCTTTTTAGTTCAAACAGATGTTGGATTACATGAACTTAGGACCTTGTGCTTGCTAGGCAGGCATGGTGCCACTGGCCACTGAGCTACATCCCCCGGTACTGTTATTTATATTCTTGTTGGACATGATAAACTGAAAATTGTGATCTGATTTTGTTTGTTCTCTTTTGCTTTGAATAAGTTTTACATGTGTTTGTGAGGGATATTTTTCTGTGGTATTTTCTTTGTAATATCTTTGATTTTGGCATCTGGGTAATGATCTCATAAAGTGAGCTGAGAAGTATTTTTTTCTTTTTCAGTTTTCAGAATCTTTGTAGAATGTGTATTTTTTTCTTGAATTTTTTGAAGAATTCACCAATGAAACCATCTACATTGGATTTTTCTTTGTTGAAAAAGTTTTAAAACTGTGAATTTAATTTCTTTAATTGATGGTTGATCCTTATGTTGTTCAAAGAGTTTATATACTTTACCTCTGGCATTGAATTGTAGGCACAGAGTTCATAATACTTAATAATCATCCGTTTATCTGTAAAAGCTTTAGTCATGTTATTTCTCACATTTTTGAAATTGTTAATCTTTCAATAATTTTTCTCTCTTTCCCTCTTATTTCCCCTCCCTTTGTCTCTGACTAGTATGTCTAGTTGGGGTATTCTAGGCAAGTGCTCCACCACTGAGCTATACCCCCAGCACTTGGATTTTATTTATTCATTAATTTTAAATGACTTACATTTTGTAAACAGTACTGTAGATTTGGTGGTATTTTAGGCGGTGAGGTTATGTGGTTTTTTCTTGTTGTGGACTTTTAAAACACAGGCAAAAACACTAAAATAAATACAAGATAATTTCAAATTATAATCAGTGCTTAGAAGACAATAAAACAAGAAACCTCAGTCTTTCAGTATATTCTTGGTAAGAGCCTAGGAGCTTATAAAATGAATAAAGTGCTTCCGCTTTACGTATAGATTTTATGCTGTTTACTTTGCAAAAGTTCATTGTTAATTTTTTTTGCTTCTTCTCTATGCCTGATTTGTAATATTATACCTTAGAAAATTTACGTCCAA